AAATTTGGGAAATGTGCCATCCTGCCTAGAGAGCCTAATAAACCGAGCATTCCCGATCATAGTTTGAGACACCATCGGTTGTGATTGCGACGAATTTTTAAATTAGTACGTTCTTTTTAGTAGTATATTTGTTTTTTTTTGCGTCAGACATCTCTTGCCCGGCGTGTTTTTCCAAAGTTAGCATAGTTAAAAATGTTTCTTTCACGGAAAAGTCAGGATACAACATTCTCGTGAACATTAGAAATTACGATAAATCAATACCATCAGTAGATTAATCAAACTGCAGGGGGAAAAACACATTTTTCTAAATCAGATCTCATTTGTACGAAGATGTCGTTCGCCATACCATCCACTCGTCATGCCACCGTCTTTCGTAACAGAGACATAGCTTTTGTAGCTGAAATTATTTCATTTTAGTTTTTTAATTCCTGAAATAAAGACTCTGACGTTGCGAGCATAGCAGAAACGTTGCGAACATAGAAATAAACAGAAACATAAGTTGGTTACGTAACGGTATACTTATAATATACAAAATGCGGGTAACACATTTGAGAACACAATATGTTCTGTACTACTTTCGATTGAAGAACACTATGCTAAAAGCTTCTTGTCATATACGTTTCGCTATTCTCTGAATACATACGAAAAATAGCTTTGTATTTAGGCGTTATTCTGGTTACATCGCACTTTAACACACTGCTATACAAGTTGTTACACTCAATACACTATACATTTTATAATGTGCGTTGCGTTCATCATTGTGCTGTACTTAGGGCACACTAACGAAACCCATTGCTACATTTAACACACTATATATTCTATGCTACACATTATGTTGAACATTACTCTTGACATTTCAACATATACTCTTAATAATGTAATTGATTAACAGTGAGCCCTGTTCTAGCAAAAAATGTAAACCATTTTCTGAAGGTGAATTTATAAAAGGAACTTTATTGGAAATGTTTGATTCACTTTTAAATGATTTTAAGAATAAGCTTGAAACTATTGGTGCAGTTAAAGGCTTATAATTGTCTCAAAATACTGTGATGCTTCGGATTAAAAAAATAAGTGAAAATATAAGAGAGTAGTTATATAAGAACATTAACAGATGTTCTTGTTTTATCCTTCAATTTGATGAATCGACACGTCATGTGACTCAGCAATAACTGTTTATCGTATTCGTACTGTTTTTAAACATTGTATATATAAAGAAGAATTGTTGGACATGTTCTCTTTGAAACAAATGTAGATATAGAACCTCTTTAAAAAACTTCTTCACTAGTTTGAAACTACCAGTTTTTATATTAGTCTTAGTAACAATTAGTTAGTCTTAGTAACAAATAGTTTTATATTAGTCTTAGCTCATATACTGAGCAAGAGCACTGATAGGACGAAAAAATAGATTTATAATTCTATGCCAAAAATGAAGTTTTTGAACTACTAATGCATAATTCAGGAACAAGTATTAACCAGAACAACTTTCAAACAACAAAAGATATAATAGACGTAATGTTGAAAACTGTTATTTCCGTTCAAGTAAGTTCTCTCGGACGACGTCTCTTCCAACTGCAGCTTTATGGAAGATTGTCTTTATTATTACATATCGATGTAAGGTGGCTAAGTAGAAGTAAATTTCTGCAACGAGATCGTGATTAGTAACTGAGATAACATTTTTTCTCGAAGAATAAAATTGAGAGTGCGCAAATGTAAGTGAAAAATATGCGCAAGGGAAGTGAAAGATATTCAGTAATTTATCATTTCTCACAGTTTTTATATCGAAATTAATAGATTTAAATTTAGAATTGCAAGGGAAAAGTACAGTCACTGAGTTTATCGGTAGTATTTAATGTATACAGAGCAAAATTTATGATGCCTATAGATCTTCTACAAAACAATTGAAATCGCTATCTAAATATGTCCGATCACCTAAGAAAATTTCAAAATTGTATTTGTAACATCAAAAAATGCACTGAAATCATGAAGCTTAGATTTCATGAAAGTTATCATGTAGCATTTGTTTTTTTCTTTTATAACAAATTTTAAATGTAAACCATATTACATTTCTGTCGCATTTAATATTGAAAAGATGTGATGGGAAATAAAATTATAACTTCCCAAACTGACTAACCTTACAAGCCAGAGAATATGAGGATTATTTTTGGAAATACGTTAATTCAGAAAAGTATCTCAATATTACCAAATCTATCGAATATATCTACTTTTTTCTTTTTTTAAAATTTTCATACTTAAGTGAATCATTTTAAAATTCTCTTGCTTATGTATGCGCATATTCATTTAAATGCATATATTTTAACAAATTTGATTGTAGAGTTAATGAGGATGTCATGTATATGTTACCGTTCAAGTGATAATTCGATTTATATTAATAATAATCGACTGCTGAACCCAAATAAAACGGTTATAGTGAATAATTTATTAGAATTTATCACATGAATCGGTGATTGAAAATAATTCGTAATTATGAATAATAAATGTAATATTTCTCAAAAAGTTCAATTTGAGACTCGCCATTACGCATTGTAACAGCTTTAAATAATATTAAAATCTTGTAGTTTAAATAATTTAAATAGATGAACATTAAGGTATTTGTGAATGGCAATATTTGAAACCAGACTCGAGTGCCTCGAGGTTGTAACAGCTTTAAATAATATTAAAATCTTGTAGTTTAAATAATTTAAATAGATGAACATTAAGGTATTTGTGAATGGCAATATTTGAAACCAGACTCGAGTGCCTCGTGCGACTCTCGCACGAAGAATGTAATTTATTTTTAAATGTTAGAATATGTTTTTCTTCTTGTTTGTATGTCGCCATTTTTTTGAGTGTTAAATAAAAGTTATTGCTGTGTTCCCAATTAGGGAAGTAAATGGGAGTTGCCTCAGTGAAGTAGGCGACCGAATGTCAGTTTGTATTTGCTCCGCTGTAACTGGTCGCTTCTTACACCAAGTTGGAATAAAGTTGAAAAGTTAGAAGGCTTAGGCAAAATACTTAAACCAGCTTTCGCGACGTAGTAAGGCCTGCCTACCTAGCAATAAAGTTCGGCTTATACTTCATTCATATGACCGAAAAATCATCATGTGATTGGAACTTAACAGTTTAGATTATTCTAGATGCTCTGTGTTGTCAGACTGTTACGGCTGTCATTGCTAATAAGTGCATAATTGTTTTACATTTTCATTAATTTTACGTTACTGATAAAAGTAATGGGTGATTTAGGGTCACCGAAAACACAATTTCTACATCATATTAACATGCTAAAATCGAAAAGAGGAAGAAATAATCAGTTATTTACAAGAGAATAATATTATTCGTTTGTATGAAGTTCACCAGAAAGCTATCAATGATTACACAAGCTGCGAATTGAAAATGTTCATCATTTTAAAATTATTCATGAGATTCATATTGCAACAGGTCTTGGAGGATGAAACAGAATTACGAAAGAGCTTAATGCAAAGCATAAAAACATTACAGAAGAAATCATTATAATATATTTAAATACTTTATGCACGTTGTTCAATAAAATTTAAAAAAAAAAAAAAAAAAAAAAAAAAAAAGAATTCCAAATGCCATGAGACCCTTCTTGCAAACATAAGTAATTTATTTCTAACCATTCTATAAAGCATAAACATAAGACCTTTTTTATGTAATAAATAATGAAGATATAAAAAAATAAATACTAAAATACTATGAAACATATTTTTATTAAATTCACTAGAATTCATTGTTAATTACTAATACTTACCAGTAAATCTAATAATTCTGCGTTATTCAATGTAATGATCAAAAGATAAGATTTATTATTAATATTTGTATTGTATTATTAATGCTTATTATACTTGTTTTATTAATAATAACTGGATTTATTGCATGACATACTGCATAGAATATAATATGAATTCATTCATATGATATTTTTTTTAGCATTTTAAATAAAACTTGCTAAAATATGTCAAATTATATATAGCACATAAATGAATAATCATTTTTCTCTTAAAATATTTAGAGTTCCTGTTAACCTACCGAGGAGCTCAAAAAGAAAAGTTGTATTTTTAGTGACCCCCGCATAAGAAATTAAGCCTGCTAAATTCAGTTTTCAGATTATTCAATGAATACGTATTCTTTTATTTAAACATACGTTTCACAAATCAATTGTTAATCATTGACTTGTGAGTGTAAGGATTTTAAGTTTTACTAACGTTTATTTTATTTTAAAGCTTTGTTATCCTCTCTTATTTTCCATTTCCGGCTAGAATAAGAACGACTAGTTTTGTTTATGTAAATGAGCTTGCAAACTGTTAAGTATTTAATATATGGCTTTTAGCCAAAAGAGAGAGTTACAGAGATACTTCTCGCTGCTTTACCACGAGAGTGCTTCTCAGTCAGTTCCTGTCTGCCTTTAAGGCCAAAACTTAATTCTCGCTGATACTTGAAGACGTATTGTAGTTTCCCGCATTCTGCTCATTACATACGGGGAGTTAAAAGACCAATCTTCGAGTTACTAGTCTTTGTAAATTATCTTAGTTCTTATATAGCTAAGTTAGTTTGTAGTTCTTATTTTCTACGTTTGAGACCATAAGTGCTGATCTTTTTATCCCGAAGTGCGGGAACAGCTGTCAACTGTGAGAAGCATAGAGTAATTTCACCTTTCGCATCCTTGTCGTATCTTCTAAACACACGAGCATAGTTTCAGTAAGCTCCATGCTCCCATTCAGGATTACTGAATGTTCCCAAAAGCAATTAGAAGGAACAGGAGTCCTGATATGAGAAGATAATTTAGTAATTGTGCTGATGCTGATGAAGGGCAGATTTTGTGGAAGTTTAATTTTAGTTAATGTTTCTTAGTTCTTTTATACTTATTGTTGACTATGATATACATCATTTTGTATTAAAAGTTTCAACTGAAGGTAGTTGAGGGTTATCAAACAATACCCTTTTTTTTTCTAAAATCAATTAAGTAATTATTTTATGAATTTCAGAGCTCATCATTGTCTTCACAAACGCACTCAAGATTTTATCAAGCCCCATGTATACCGATCAGGTTTACCAAAAACAGAAGCTCAGGAGGTTTGTAGAAATTAGAGAAGTTCTTTTTAAAGGAAGATTTTACTCCCAATGTTATAATAGGAAGAGTTTTTTTAATGCATAAAGAAATTATAGTTAGATTTACTTAATTATAAATAACATATTTTAGTATGAATTTATAGTTATTGGAATAAGAATACTTTTGTTTTAATGTATACATTTTAAAATTTCTTTTGTTCACGAGGTTTATATTGTTTAAGCAGCCTTTTTTTTTAGAATTTAATTTCTCAAAGTTTTATGGCTGCATTATATAAAATTATATTTTATAAAAAGATATGAACCTTTTGGAGCATATAATTATTATCTGCAGTCTAGATTGTGAAAGCGTTACTGTGCCTAATGTTTAAAATCTCTTGAAATATAGTGAATTGGAAGGTATGCGGTGTGCCCATATAAAATATCCTTAAACTGTAAGATCTGACTCTATTATTCCACATAAACTAAATTAGATCCTACAGTGAACCTGGCGAATTCTTGCACAGGCGTGAATAAATTACCAGCATAGAAGAAGGGTGAAAAACATCCCTTTATTTAATTTAAAATTTAATTTAAAAGAAAGGCGCGATCTTTGTGTTTTACAATGGCACCGTCAACTTGCGGTAAAACTGAAACGTAGAATATAATTCTAGTCGAAATCTAAAATAAAATATTGCTGTATTAGCATTTTAAACTAAGCCTAACAGGCTGACTCACAAAAACCTACTAAGGCGTGATAATAATCCGAAATTGCCAGGAGGTCTACTAGCATAACAGGGAGATAGCAACGAAACGTGTGCTGGCTAGCGAAAACACGCTCTGAATAAACTCAGAGATTCATCCGTTTAAATACTCACTTCGCTTAACTTTAAATTTACATCCTGGCGAGAAAAATGCGAAGGGAAATTTAGAAGTTCAGGAAAGATATCAAACTTAAAATAAATTTGTTATGCAAAATAAGGGAAACCCTACAAAATTAATTTCTGTGGAAAAGCTTTATGCCTTTCTCCCTATATTAAAAAGAAGTGCCTTAAGTCTTCTTGTACGCATTGATACATGCAAGTCCATTAATTCCATGCAGAATATAAAGCTGATTCTCAATTTCCTGCCGCCCGCCTGTGGTCGACTGGATAAAATTGCTAAATGCTGATAATTCGACCCACGCTCGGATCCCGAAGAACGGACAGGCTGCACGAATGTTTTTCTTCAAGAATAAAATAAATACGAACCAAATGCTAATAGAAGGTCTTTCTCGAAGGCTTTTTAAGGACACCAATGTTTTTAAAAGGGCCGTTCAGGCTAGGGTTATCCTGAGCGAGTACTACAGTTGTTGCAACTCGCGCAGCCTCACCGGGCGGCATGGTTTAGGGACTGCAGAAATATTTACAATTTAGCAAGGAACTGGGCAGCAGAACTACGGAGTAGCAGAATTTGCACTGGATGTCAAAATGTCTAACCCCGGTCCTGGGTTTATCCAAGATAACGGTGACGTCTGGCAAAGTCGACATAGCTCCATGGCGTCGAAAAAAACACGATTTTCTTCAGTTAAAAAATCTGAACTTCAGGTATGGCGGAGCTAGTCGACACATGGATAAACTCAAGAATTGGTCTGGAAAAGAAAGAAAGAAAGAAAGAAAGAAAAAAAAAAAAAAAAAAAAAAAAACACTTTTCAGAAAACTGAAACTTTTCAGATTATTTTTTTTTTTAAAATTGCAACAGAATGATAAAAATTGGACAACAATGAACTAACTGCTTAAAACTTACTCGTGGTTAATGAAAATGAAATTTGCTTGATTTATTTAGTAGAATGCAATCCTTCGCTATTTAATTAAAGAATTACAATTTTTAGATATCAAACCTAATTTTTGTTGTTCAGAAATATGTACACATTTCATAATATGGAACATTTCCTTTTTTTCTCCCAGTATTAAATCTCACTAATTATAAAAACTGTAACATAAAAATGTTTTTTTTTGTAGCATATACTTACTGGATTAAAAAGATTTACGCGTATGTTTCTCTGTTAGAAATACATATGGTATCACAATCAGCCATTACAGAAAGCTCTAAAGCCATTTAGTTTGAACTGGATGAATGAAGTTCTGGAGCCTAAGTTTCCAATGAAAAATATCCCTAAAATTAACCAGGTTAGTCTTCTAAATTCAAATCCTTTCATTTTTAATTCCTCTACTATTTCCTTAAAAATGTGATCTTATTTTTTTTAATATCATCCTCAGTTTTAAAGAGTCTTATAGAAACTATTGAACTGTAATGTTTGTAAGAGAATAATGCCTGCATGGTAAGAGGTCACTCAAAATGCACTGTGAGCAGAAACACCTGTCTAGAGGTTAATGCTAGGGGAACAGGAAAAGTCATAAGAGACCCTAGGATTGCCCCCCCCCCCGAGGTGTTCTTCCTCAAAATTAGGGCGGAAGCTTTACAGTTAGCATGGCGATACCTAATATATACCTATGGGAATGCATAGTTTCAAGCTTCCAGACAGAAAAAAAGAGGTATTGTTTAATTCAAATTGCATATATTAATGGCACTGTAGATATTAATGGAAAAAAGTATCTTTTAGGAAGTGCCTGGAGAGCTCTATGAGAAGTATCATCAATTCTTGAGGTCATAGACCTTTAAATCTTTCATAATAGATTAGCATCTCTGGAAGAGGTAAACAACACTTCATCAATTATACTTATGTTAAAACAGTACTCCAGGAAGTTATTTTTTTTGAGAAAGCCATATGAATTACTATTTGTATGAAGACACAAAATTTTCACTAATGTGTATGTTAGAGAAACAAGCGACATTGTTATGGCATATTAGTTTAATACGATAGCCTTTTTTTCAGACTGAACGACCTTGATATAAAAACGTTGCTAAGGTAATTACGGCATCGTTCTTAAAATAACTTATATATATATTAATTTCGTTAGTTTTGTAACTTATATATATATTAATTTCAGTTGAGTAATATTACCTCAACTGTTGACTATATTGTAACATATTCTTTCATTTGGGCTTGGGATTTTTTCCATATCTCACAAAAGCTATTTTTCTCAAATTCCGAAAATAGTTTTAGGCGAGACACAATCCGCGAATTTTATAGCATAAATAATTCTGTTCATAACCATCCTGTTATTTTACAATAAGAATTAATAATTACCTTTCGAATTTAATTTGAAGAGAGAGAGTGAAAGCATTTACTTTACAATAGAGTCAACTTTTGGATGGTTTCCAGATGTCTGCAGTGAATGTGTTGGACAGTTAATTTCTTAGATTGTGTGTGTATATTGAGTCTTACTAATTGAGGGCTTTTTATCTTAATCCTTTTTCGTCTTTATCTTCTAGGTACTGTTCCGTTAGAGCGGCGTCAGTTAAAAAAGCGCCATTTTTTTTTTTTTTTTTTTTGCCTCCAATTCTCGCGAAATATTAAATTATAAAATAATAATTCTGTAAAAAGTAATTTTTTTAATTTCTTAATTCTCAAAGAAAGTAATTTTTTCTTTTTAATTTTGGAACTTAGAATATTCTACACATGAATCTAAAATATCAAAACAAAACGAAATACAATCTAAACAGGTGGCATAAAATTACGAATATCGTTCAGTATTGCAGAAAAATTTTGAGTTTTTGAATATAGTCGACGCCACATAAATTCTATTAAATATGATTCTAAATGGTGGCGAGCAGTGCACCACTGATGTTTATTTCTTTATTTAGCACTACCCTACAATCGCTTCACAGTTTGGGTACGGCATCCAGTTTCGGGGTCTACAAAATTATAGCTGTGATTCACAGTATCATGTTCATACTCAGCTTTTCTTAGTTCTTCTTGCTTATATCCTTTCCAGCAGCCTGAAAATATAATGCTGCCATCCGCGATGTTTTCGTAAATGGCAGTCATCAATGTCGTAGCACAACGATCAGGAACGACGACCAGAAAACATTCTTTGCTTTCCCGGCATAAATCCCCGAATACCCATTGTTCTGGAAAAATACGTCCAATGTTGTTTCTCCTTCTTGTAAAAAGAGCCCACCAGCGGCCGAGCGGTAAAGTCGCTGAACACTGGTAGTTCGGTCTGAGGCTCGAATCCCGAGAACAGGCTGGCTGCATGAGTGTTTTTGTGGTTTTTCCCCATGTGTAACGTGTATACGAGCCAGTTTTCCTTAGAAAGTCCTCCACGAAGGCATTCCTCCCTTTAGGCAGATAGCCCTTGCGGCTTTGCCATAATCGCATACACAAACTTTCCTTCTTGTAAAAAGAAGTTCGTCTATTTCTTCGATTTTGTTGGCTCCAAGGATTTTAATTCTTTTACGAGATATCAAGCTATTTGCACATACCTTCCTCAAGTAGTTATTCCAATCTACTGTCGTATTACGGCTCATTTTTAATTGAAGTTTGCAAAATTCAGTCGACGTCAATTCTTGATACCACAGGTAGATGAAACGAACGGCATTGAGGAAAGTAAGACGCGAGCCTTCGAACCATGTTTTGGTTCTCAGTTCTTTTTTTTTTCACATCAAGAACGTACGTAACAACGCCATATAGGAGCTTTGTTTGAGTCGAAAGTTAGCTTCATGGGATGATTTTTGAGAACGAAGTCTGTTGTTATGAATTATTCCTTTATCCTGAAAGAATCTTATGGCAGCCTCTTCGTCATTAGGTAAATGCCAAATTGTGTAATCCATCGTACTAAAAAAATGGCGAAATATGGCAAAAAATAACCAGTGACGAAAACTAGAACTATAGAGCCACAATTTTTTAAACGTATATAAAAAATATTCAAAATAATAAGCGACGATATTTCAAACTAAAACTAGAATTCTCGAGCCAAGATATTTGGCGTGGTTGTTGGCGCACTTTTAACTGAAGGCGCTCTAACGGAATTATACCATCTTTTATTATAATCGTGATTAACTTTATTTTTTTGGAATAACACTTTTCACTCTCGTAAAAAATTTTTTTATTGTTACCGTTCTTGAATGAAACTCTTCCTACTTTATGATCCATCTACTTTATTTTACTTCTACCATATTTTCAATAATTTCTTCTACTGGTTACACGGTTCCCTTTGGTTGCCTGGGTTCATCATTATCAGGACTATGATATCACATTATTGCTTTATTTCCATGCATGTGCATTAAAAATATATGGAATAAATACAACTTTAGTATTTATATATAACAATGAACCCGCTGCATAGAATCTTTAGTTCAAACGTCAGAAGTTTTATTTATAATCTTGCTGCACTTGGCGAATCATTTGTTAGAACCACAAAAATACTTTTTTGAATCCTGGAATGAAAATAGTGTCGCAAATCTCTTTTTGAATTTGCTAAAAAGGTATGGGATTTTATTACGAAGTATACCAATCACTTTTTGAACTGAAATACTGTCTTGCTTCAACAGTGAATTTGATAACACACATGCATTACCATCTTAACACTTGTGCCCAATGGGAATCGACCCAGGGGTGGCAGGAGTATAGGAGTCCATCTATAATTCTTTTACATTTCATTTCTGTGAGTTGTGCTCGTAGAAGCCCCAGCCGTCACCAGCTGAACAACGGTGGTTTTTCCCGTGGTAATGCACCAGCACACTGGCTTTCCCGGGGGTCCATAATGCTGTAAATATGGCATTGCAGATACTACTTCAGTTTGAAATGTGTACTGAAATACTGCAGAGTTGTTAATGCCTAGTCCTAGTGCCATCATTTTATTTCCTTCGTCACTTCTGGAACTGGAAAAAAGTGTTGGCTGTTTTAAGCCAAATCTTTTACCCTATAACGAACAAACATAAAAATAAATCGCTCCGTTATCAGTAAAGTTCATTACTACCACTTTGTTTATATTTTAATTCCATTTGGCACTCTATTCCCAGTTCTCCGTTTATGAAAATTCTACATGAATTAATTATTAAAAATACCATTTGAAACATAATGTTACTTTTGGCTGTGTAAAAATATGAAAATATTGCAGTTACACTCAATTTTTTATAGCAGCAAGAAATAAAATATTTTGCTTTGCCTTTCCGTTAGGTTCTACTTCATGGTGACAGTTTCTCTAAAGATGAGCGACATCGAAATGCTTTTGACCATAGCCCATACATTCCGAAAGCATCCTGTCATTCAGTTACGTAAGGAAATTTGTTTTCAAATCTTTTAAATATAAGTGTAGATACTACTGTTAAATATAAAGAAAATCATAAAAAATTTATCTAAAATTACAAAGCTAGCCAAAGTAGCAAAGGTACACATTTGTGTATATTTCATAATAATTAGTAACAAAACTGCGTATAACTAGTAACAAAGCTACCAATCTATCTATCTATATCTATCTATCTATCTATCTATCTATGTATATATATAGTAAATAAATTACTATTAACTTGCAGCTATTGCGCAAGTAGTAGAATAACTCGATTTCGCACTAAGTGAATTTAAGATTATACAATATATATATACTGAAATAAATTATTGTGAATTGTATACAAATAAATTTATAACCTTATTCTGTTTAGCTTCATGCTCGAATATAAACAAATCTACAAACACTGTCTGCCGGGGACTAGGAAAAGATACCCAACACATCCAGGACGTTTTGGTTCTAAATACGTTGGCCGAAATTTCTGCTAAACCCGTTTCATTGAAGCATTACATGATTGAAAGATAAATGAATGAATATCAAACATCTTTTATCAATTTCAAATATTTTATTCTGGATCTGAAGAATCAGACTTTCGCCAATTTGAGTTTTATAAGTGGCGGAGATGAGTTAAATAAATGGAAGTTTTTCTGTTGTTCAGTAAATATTTGGTTTTGGTTCCTGAAAATTTGAACGTAAGAAGCGGCTGAAGAGTTCGTTAACCATTGAGTTTAATAAGCGGGATTGTATTATGCTATTGTTTCCTTATTTCTGAATACCGGGATATTTTCAACTAACCATTACAAAACCGAAGCCATCGCTAACCTGTATCCTTAAAATACCGAAACGTTCGAAATGTCTTTTGAGATTCACAGCAGTTTAATCCTTTTTCCAATCCATCCATTAATCTACAAAGAGGTGTGAAGATTTCAAATGACTTTCTTTCTACTTCCTAACAAATAAAGATAAGAAACCATAAATCATGCCAGCTAGGACAAGTTATCTGCAGTAAACTGATGCAATGCATTTGTGGAAACTGCACCTGCTACTGCATACCTTAGGGGAAGGGAAGAAATCAGCATCGCTGTTTCGGGCGGTTGTGGTCGTTTGAATGGAAGCCTATCTCGAGCGTTTTGATCTTGAAAAGTTTGAACCTTGGATCTTTTATCTATAACTAAAAGAAATTGTATTTGTTTCGATTAATAATGCTTTAGTATTTTCACTGAATAAAACAAGTAATTTCAGATGAAGCAGAGTAATCAGGCATAGTTGACCCTCTGCTGAAATCGATGTGATCGCTGTTACAGATTTAATGTTACAGAACCTTTAGGAGATTGTCTTTTATATGCCAAGAATATGATGGAAACTCAAAACCTGCTATAGTTAAATGCGAGGTGGTCATTAAAGTTGATTCACAAATCATGTGATTAAAATTAACTTTTGGATTACTAACGAGAAAATATAAGTGAATAAGTATACTAAGCATAGAATTCAAAGGGTTTAAAAATAAAGAAAACAATTATAAACACGTATCTTGAAGAAATTAACTGAATTTAGCAAAATGTATTATTTACGTGTTTGATTACTTATAAAAAGATCTTCAAATTTTTCAGGCAAGATGAACCAGCCGAAGCAATGGCTGTAGGTGCTTGCCGTGACTGGGAAGCTAACTGCTCAGTTGGAAAAGAATGTGGAAAATGCTTAAACGTATTCTCAGTATGTATTTAAAAATATACATTTAGCCAATAAGATAGCTTTTCAGTATTTCCCATCATTCTATCAATCCTTGTTGCATGACTGACCTTGATATGGTCGAAAGAACCTCTTTATGTATTCATCGTCTTTGCTAACGGATTCGTTTAAGTAAAGTTTCAAACTTTTACTAAAAAATACTTTTCCGTCAAAGTTTCGTCATATGAATCTTAAAATTAAGAGTCATTAATGAATAGAAGGGAAGCTGAGTGTCTGAGTGAACGCGATATACCAAGCGAACATAAAACTACTAGTATAATATCTACCAAATGAAAGAAATAAGAGGCACTTGGGGTCACTTTCTAGGATGTCATTTGATTAAGCGTGTTTTACAATAAAAACATCTCGTATGCTCGAATCAAAATCTAAAGAAATTTTAATTGTAATTCTTATTTTATAATTATAATTTTTATACAATTACATAGTTTTGATTATGACATTAAATCAAATAAGAAGATAAAGAGTTAAACTGTAACAGAAATTTTTGAAATGGAAACGTTTTAACAGGTAATGTCTTTCAACTTAGAGTTTCTCACAAAATATGCACCGTCTCGTCTAAATGTACATAATGATTAAAAAATGCTACAGATAGACAGTTAACATTACAAAAAGAAATTATTTTTCCAATATACCTCTATTTTGAGAAATTTTAAAATGCTGTTTTTCGACGCCCCAGATATTTGATTCTCGGAACTAAAATACAAGCTAATAAAGGAATCGATATATAAGGTTAAAATTAACTTGGTTTCATCTAAATATTAGTCTGAGCCTCTTAAAGTGCTTAAAGAATTATCGTCTTGCCTTTCTCAGTCAATTTCAGTGTACTAATTAATTATATCAATGGAAAAAACAACTAAAATTTTTATTTTCACTTCATCTTGAAGTTACAGAATTTAAAACATCTGCAAAATTAACTTGCTGATGTTTTAGATTCTGTAACGTCAGCCCAGCGCGCAAAAACTTTAAACTTAAAGCAAAAACTTTATTTACAAATTAAAATTTACAGCCTAACAACATGGCGCTACTACTTCGTGATTTTTAAGGCAATTTTCAGTCAAATTAAAGACTTATTCACTAAACATGTAGCGCAGGGCTAAAAACTGGCAGCAATAGGAGAGTTTCAGTACAAGCTCAGCTGCTAACTCTGGATCATAAGCTTAGATTTGAGCTTCTTATTTAAAACTCATTTCATTAGCATTTTCTGTTCGAGTAGAAGAAATAGTAGAAGTGCCATAAATCTCCAACGTAAAGAAATGATGTGTTTATAAAAATAAACCTTACAAATGCTTTCAGAATTTTTAATATCACCTATTAATATTCTATGTATTTATGAGTTTCACTCCTAAATTTATTACTTATGATTGCTAACATGTTTGTTCTGAGTCCATCTTTTCTGTCATTTTTTAAAAAAGTTCACGCAAAGGATTGATATTCTTATGAATAGAAATTCGATACTCCAAACAAAACTTCTGCGTTTATAAAAAAAAAAAAATAACATCGCATTACATTCCTTCAAAATAATCAAATTATTACACTAAAAATTACATTTAAATTTAAGAGATAATTATCGATATATATCGATGCAAAATACAAAGGCCTTTTTACTGTTAAACAGTTTTATTTTAATACTTGAATAACATTTAAAATTTTCGTAGAATAAATGCAACATAATATTTATTAAGTAAATAAAAAATTACCCATATATGACAGTATTTATTTCGTTTTTCAGTCACTAAATAGATCACTTGAAAAAAATATTGAAACAGATGGTTTTGCAAAGACATGTAATGACATATGCACTGCATGTACCGAGAAATATGGTGCTGATTACAGCAGAAACCTTCTAAAACAAATACAGTGCGACCCGGAGAATCCATGTAAAGGAGAATATGCAATAATTATGAAGCCTGGTGAAGGTAATAGTCCAGAAATACAATGTGTTTGCAGAACTCAGTCTAATTATCATTAACATATAGTATTGACTTTTTTATAAATATAAAATAAAAAAGGCGTCTGCTGTTCTTTCTGTGGTATTTTTGTTTATTTCTACTGTAACTTCTCTACACTGTGGAGGATTTAATTCTCTTCTTGAAAAATTTAGCTCTCGAAATGTAGAATTGAATAATGAGCTTATAATTTTTCTTCCCTCTGCTTTCGCACTCGACGCCTTGGAGAAAGCAGAAATGGATAGCAGATTTCGAATTTACCTTATCTGATAACTCATATCTTAAATCTTTCGTATTTCAGTTATTGAAATGAAGAATTCACGAGTGACCCGGTGGATATCACCACTAAATAGTAGTGGTTCGAAAATACTTCAAATGTTGACAAACGGGTTGACTGCATGAGCTTCTTCGTGGATTTTCATGCTCGCAGTTTCACCTAGAAAGATTACAACGAAAGCATTTTTCCCCTTAACCAGCCCCCCCTAAGGTTGCATGCACTGACTTAATACTATTCTATAACCGTCGCGAGTGTGGGGCAAAAGAACACCAACCTAATTCCTATTGCCATAAAGCACAGCCTATGCTGTCCCGGATGGTAGTGGCTTCGGCCACCCGAGTGAGAAGTGTGACACAGAGTCAATAAATGTCTCCCCCACGCTTGGTCTAAGCGCTTGAGGTTTAAACAAGGCCCGAGCGGCTAGTTCAGCTTTGGGGGTTTGAAAAGAAAAAGTTTTTTTAAAGGCCTCTACTTCGGGACTGAGGTCTCTGTTGCGCAGCTGAGTTTGTAATTTCCTTCGCTTTTGGGGAATCTGCTGACTGCAGCTGACCTTTATGGAAACAGTTCAAGCAGTGTCTGCCTTAATTGCATCGAGTTACTAATTAACAAAAATTTCATTGATTTCTTTAGGCAGTTAGATCTAGTACATTTTGTCATAAGATAATAAATCCAAATCTAATTATTGCAATGGAACGAAAAGCGGAATTAAATTAACACAGCCAGTGGCTCTAAGCTCAGTAATCTCTTAGAGGTCAACAATGCCTGTAACGAATATTTTTATGAGAGGGAAATAGAATTATGAGGAATTGAGGGATGATCTTGAGAGCTTAGGGTCGGGCGGCCTAGAAAATCAGGCCTTAGTAAGATAAAAGATGTTACGATCATTCAGAAAATGAATTGGTTGTTAGTTTTAACTTACACCTGGATATCATTATCAACATAGGAATAAGTCTTTATTATGCTTAAAAATTTGATTTAATATATTCTTTTGTCTAATACCAAATTTTTAATATTTTTGGTTTCTTATTGAAAGAAAAATATACCTTGCGTGTATTTTTAGATAAATATTTCTAGAAAAGAACTTCACGGGATGAGATATAATGTTTTAAAGAGATTAATTAAATGCCAGAGAAATCTAACGCTATTACACTTTTCTTTTCTTTATTATCGAAAGAGTGGTTTTTGTCGTTGAAATGAATTTTCTTTACCGCATTGATGTTTCATTTTGGTTAGTTTAGGTTACTTGAATATGGCAAAGCTCACGATGGCTATCTGCCTAAGAGAAAAGATGTTTTCGCGGAGGACTTCCCAAGGGAAACAGACTCGTACTCATGCTACACATGGAGGAAACCACGAAAATCAATCACATAATTAACTCGTTTGCCTGAGATCGATCTCGGGTCGGACTGCTAGTATTCAGTGGTGTTAATCCTTCGGCCATTGACAAAGCCTTAATTTTGGATGTGAATTATTCGCCTTTTTCGAAACCTTTTCTTTGTTTTAAAAATAACGTATGTATTATTTGTAAGTTTTTATGACGTTTTCTAAAGTCCCAATCATATGCTTCTGTTACGAGGGACTTGACGTCAAAAGGGACAATTCTCAGAAACCGCCCATTTCCAGGAAAGCCACGTAGCTAGGTTACCATTTTCACTTACTACAAAGACTTGAACACCAAACAGTAAATCGATTATCGCTCAGATTGGGATCACGTGATTCTTCAGAAGCAGAACTTTTGTTTGATTGGTTGATGTCTACGTCGGATAGAGCTGCAGCCGAAATATTTTCGCCGAGATTAAAAAAAAATTCGCTTAGCCGGTACGTCGTTTCCGTAGATAAGCAGGACTTCGCTTTCAGCGAAGCATTTTTTCTAGGAATCCTCTCGTATAAACCAGTGCTATCAGAATCTCGTTTCTCAGAAAAGTCCCGTCTAGAAAGGGCCGCCGCTAGATGTGATAAGGACCTAAGTAAAACGCGTGTCCTCATTGATGAACAATCCTCATTTTTTTAAAATTTCTGATACATTATCCTGGACGATTTTTCAAATGATATTATAGATCGCAACAGATCTAACTCAGCTTGTAACATCAACTTTGCCGTTACTAATACTTCGTCTCTTTCACTTCCTGAATCGATCCAATTATGATCTTCATCATTAATGGAGTGAAAATTGTCATTTACCTATTCTAATAACTTTAACCTCCTGGCAGTTTTCTGGAAATCTCTTGGACTCAGAAGTTTACTTTTTTCTATTAGCAAATAAAATAAACCTTCTTAAAAATCCTGTCTCATGGGACAATGTGTCATGCAATTACAAATTCCCACATGTAAATACATGACATGTAGGTATATGGTGTCACATAATTATGAAGATTAGACACCGATCTAAGAATTTAATTAAACAGACTTATATTTATAGAAGAAACAAACTGCTATTCATAGCAGTTTCATTTATGAAATAAAAAAATGCTCTAAAATGTAGTAACTATTTATTTACAGAAATTGTCCGATATTTATTGTGTCACTAGTTTTCAAACGGCTTTTTATTTATCATTGAGTTAAAATTTATTTACCGAAATCATTTAGGTTTTAAATTAAATTCCTTGAAATATTATATTGAAATAAATGAAATGCAATGTTATAAACAACTGTCCTATTTTTTTGTATTCTAACTATTAAATATACTTTAATTTGACATTTTTAATTTGATAGAAATTTATGGCTTCAAAATATCGCTTTCAATACATATGCTCGATCAACAAGTTTTTTTTTTTTTTTTTTTTTTTATAAAAGAAAGCTGACATATAGAAAGCTTATTGTTCCTCAAATTTTGATAAATTAGGCATTTTTATATAGTGTTTTGCCACGGTGGATGAAAACTATCATTTATAATGATAAGTGACAAAATCAGTTAAGCTTATATTGTATCGCTAATTAACAATGATAATATAAACTATTATAAGCCTCCATGTTTTTGAATGTATTAAAATAAAAGCACTCTTAAAGAAATTAAATGCAGTTATGTTTCACGGAATGATTGATGAGTGATGTATTTTCTTCGCAAACGTTTTATAAATCTTCAGACGCATCAAAGGCAACAAAACTTATTGACATTTTTATTACTTTAATGTAGAAAATGTGCGAAATTCTTCCCCCAGTCAATAATTTGAATTGCGTTATAGGTAACTTGTCGCTAAAAATATCAAAACTGTTCATGAATTAGCTTTTAACACCCAAACTTTTGTATTAGGTTTTAAGTAATCATGAAAGTAGTTTGAAATATTTTTCTTGTGATAAGTGTATTTAAATGCTGAGGGCAAGTTTGACATCTCACAAAAGAATATATGTACTAAGCTGACGATTTGGTCAGCAGGTATACTTTGCATAAATAAACATGTCTAAAAGAAAGAAAAAAGATAGGTTGTTGTATAGCATAAAAATCTATATATTTGCTTAAAATCCGGAAGAAAACAAATTGGTAATATTTTTTTGTTTATTGTTATGGATATTTTATATGCAAAAAACCAAGGAATATGACCAGTCCATTAATAAAAAGACTCGGCGCATTGTTAAAAATTTGTCGTGTATTCTGATGTTCAAGAAGACTAAGGTATACAAATATGTCTAAGCATTATATCTCTTTATCCTACTTCGCTTTTGTTGGCTTGAATTTCCCGAATAAAACGAAAACCAGTAGCAATTGCCTTGGACAGAAGCTCCTATTCCTGATTAAGTCTACTAGCGAAGTGTTATTTACCTTGTTTGCAATTTATGTTATGACTGTAAATGCCGTTGCAGTGCCTTATACAGTAAGAAATCTTAGGCTAGTCACTACAAGCGTTCATGGGACTATACTTTTAATAAGACTATCCATGTATTTTGGAAGAACAAAAATAGTTAACGTACTGAAGGAGATTGAAGAATTCGCTGCAGTTTCTGATCATTCACTTTTCTCTTCTATGAAGAAGAACTTTAAAATTTCTTGCATAATGTGCTTTGCTGTTCCTTTAATTGCAGATACTATTTTCTTCGTTATATTACTAAAAACGTTTGATTCGAACAAAGAAGCTTATGAAGGATACATTCCCCAAAGAAATATCGCCGAGCTGAATGTTTATACTTTAACTGCTGTTATAATTTTCAAGACTCTATTCGTGATGCATTTTTACGTCTTTCCCAGTCTTGTTATGGCGCTATTCAGTTTTATTTTCTTAATGTATATAAAAGTATTTCGAGCAAACCTTGCTGGAATACGCAAAATGCTGTCAGTGAGTTTAAGTCAAGAAAATCTATGCAAATCTATCAATCTTGTGCAGAAAGCGATGAGATTACATCAAGCAATTGAGTGCACAATTTCTTTTAGTGTTTTCCTTGTTTATGTTCTCACCTTTGTAACATTTCTAACACTTGTATGCATTTTTGCGACAAATTATATGGGAGCAGTTGAATCAGCTCGAAACATGTACTCTATTCTCGTTTTTATATGGACAAGTTTATGGTTTGCTGTTTTAACATATTGTGGTTCAGAAATCTGTAGTCTGAAAGTTGACATCAAATCCTTATTGCGAGATGTATATCTCATTGGGGTGAAAAGCAAGTGTTCACATAATGTTATTCATTCGTTAGTGTTTTCAAATTGCTTCAATTTCGAATTATTCTTTAGTGCCTGGGGAATGTTCCGCATAGACAAAAGACTTATTTTGTCCACGTGTGGTGTTATTGTGACTTACGGTGTACTATTCACTACAACTTGAATCCCGAT